GGAAGGAGACGATTGCGAAGGAGAAGTATCGTCGACTACAGAAGACGATTGCGAGAAGGAAGAGTCGTCGTCTAAGGGAATCAGACGTCTAAGCTACTGGAGACGACAACGAGTGATAACAAAGGCGAGTGTCGTCGACTATGGGTGAGATGTCGTCAAGTAGAGACGACGCGAGCCGCGACTACGAGGGCAAGTGTCGCCGACTACAAAGACGACGAGAGCAAGCGTCAACAACAAGATTTCAGCAAGCGAGCGTCATCGAGAAAGTTGCAAGGACGTGTAAACGTCGTTGCAAAATTCGACGAAGAGAAAGTGAGAAAACGAGGAATCACCGCAAAAAAGGTCGAAAAACATTGATAAATTTTAGTGAGTGGGTGCAAATGATCCACTCACAAGGTATACAAACACATGCAAAAAAGGTCCAAAAGTAATATACATGTGTAAAGTGAAAATGGCGGACGACTGCTCTGCTAGGGTTTCAAATGTTTCGAATGGCGATTGTCATTAATTCTATCGCTCGAAGCTTCCTCTCCTTTCTGCTTCGTCAGCTCGCGCCCGTTTTCGTCGGCATTCGTCTGCGTCTCGAAGACGTTCACATCTACTCAACGAGTCCAACCGCTCGACATCTGCTTCCCGCTTCGGTCTCCGACAAAGCTGCTCGACCCCAATTCGGCGTCACGTCTTCTGCTCAGCTCTGCCTCCGGCGTCTGCGACAGAGCCGCTCGTCAACCCATTTTCGTGAAGCTTCTCACTGTTTTCTTGCCGCAGCAACTTCGTTGTAGCTTAACGCCGACAGCTCTCCTTGCTTTGATGGCGCCTCCTTGTTTGGTTGAGTCGGACAAAGTCTCATTTGCCCACGTAGTTGGTAACCCTCAAGTGAAGTTCACAGTGGGATTCCCCTCAAGTTATAAGGTATCTCGTGAATGTACAAATGGTTGTCCATTTATTAAAAAGGGAAGTAGAAAGGGTGGAAAATAAACAATTTTTTTTTCTGAATCAGAAATTTCTTCTCTGACGAAAAAATTCAAGTTTGCTCTTATTAGAAAATTTCAGTGGGGACACCCTCTTATGGAGGTTAGTGTCGATGATCTTAAGCTAGTAGGCAAGTGGAAAGTGAGACTCGTTGATAGGAGACATATGTTGATCCTACTAACAGTGGTTGAAGACTACACCTGAGTTTTCTTCAAGAAATATCTTATATCGAAGGCAAATCAATAAAGTTACTCAACTGGTCTCTTAATTTCAACCCAAATCATGAAACTCCCACTGTACCGGTATGGTTTAGTTTTCCTGGTCTCAAGCTGTATTTTTTTCACCATCTGGTTCTCTACTCTATTGGGGTCATCCTTGGGGATCCTTTGAAACTAGATCTGCCTACATTCAATCTAACCAGACCCTCGGTGGCCAGAATACTTGTGGAAAAGGATATATATATATATACATATATATATATATATGTATGTATATATATGTATGTATATATATGTATGTATATATATGTATGTATATATATGTATGTATATATATGTATGTATATATATGTATGTATATATATGTATGTATATATATGTATGTATATATATGTATGTATATATATGTATATTTATCTATGCGTGTATATGTGTATATTTACGTAAGACTAAAACCGAAAACCTATATATAAAACTAGAGTTAATGATCTAGGCTATCAAAAATAGAAATTCAGGATTCAATCCCGATAAATTTTGGCACATTAAAGGCTCTGATAGTCACATAAAGCCACTTAATTTAGAAGTTGGAAGCATATTAATAATTTTATATTTATAAAAGAATGGGACTAGGTAGGAGGTGCAAATACTTTTCACAGCAAAATAAAGGCATAGTATTGCTTTTCCTCTTATTTAATGAATATAGATAATGCCCCTCGAAGAAGAGAAACCATTAAGATGTAAGAATTAATATTCGGAATAAGCACGGCCAAGAGATAAAAGGCCCAGTTAAACAAGCCTACATATGAATTAAGTTACAAAGAAGATTGCAATTCCCTTTAAATGCAAAAGAAAATTATTTAGACCAAAAGAATAAGTACACTATGAAGTCGAACTAAAAACCTTGAGGATCAGTAATACATATGTAAGAAAATTTCACTAATAATATAAACGTATAAGGAATTCACTAATCGAACGGAAAAGCCACTATGGTTTACCATGTACCCAAGAAAGCTTTGGTACTCAAAAGATAAGCGCAGCCAACCCATCAAAACAATAATAACTAATCTGCCTTCTATACAATGTCATCATCATTTGCCTTACTCCAATTATTTGAGGTCAGCTTCATGAATCTTTATTTATCATAAATTAAGCTACCTGAGGTATTAAATCAACCCTTCTCAAATTATCTTAGACAACTTCTATCCCTAGTATCTAAAGACTAACTTTCTTCTTAATCTTTCAATACGAATTTTATCAAACCTTCAAATGATGCATTTTCTATCATTCAATGTAAATGTCGAAAAATATCTAGTCTATTTCATACAAATGACACACAAATCACTCTTCTAATATAATTATTTGTTAATTTATCCTTCATAAAATTGCCACACATCCATTTTAACATTCTCCTTTTTGCCACGTTCAACCCAAGAATCGATATTTTTTTAATAACTTAACATTTCAATCCATACAATAATATTGACCATATTATAATTTTGATTAAATATCAAAGATATTTTCATTTTGTGTAATACTTCTAAGAAACTTCCATTAGCTACCCAATCTTAAAGCTATAAGTAATAGGCTTATTTATGTCCAAAACTTTCTATAGGATAGATCCAATGAACTTAACATATCACACCATAAAAATTATATCTTCAAACAATATTATCGGATAATTATCAAAATCACATCGATTAAAAATGCTTCGCATAATTTTATCTATCTTTTAAATAGTTTCTCCATGTACTTAAATTTTAGATATTTTAGCGCATGACTCGTCATTAAAACTATATCACATAAAGATATATGTACATATACACACCAAGACATTCACTATGATTATCATTTACAAGTATCACTATAATCAATATAAAAATATATGAACTCAATATTGACCATTGATGTAATCATATAATGTTAGAAACTCTTTAATCACTTCAAAACTTTTGATATTAATTGGTGCTGAAACATATCCATTTTAAATATATTCAATAATTATTTGGCACACATTTCTTTCTTAACGCATACCAAACAAAATTTAGAAAATATCTTTTTTAATGCATATCAAATAAATTTTAGAGATATTCGATCATATTCCTTCTAAAGTATACTAAAAATTAAATAAATTATTTCTTGAAACTATATATATACACTACTTATCATGACACAAATAGCACTTTTAAAAGCTAAATTGATTCTTTGAAACTATTATACTTTATGTTTCAATACTCTCCTATAAATTCATGATATGACTCAAAAATTAATTTCTCCATAAATAACATACTTTTGAATAAATATTGATACCAAAATGTTATTTCTCTAGTTATTTGTCATCCTCCCATTATTCTAAATTTATTAAAAAGCTTTGTGGGTCAAACTGTCAAAGAATTCCCTATAACTCTTCAATTCTTAATAAGTGTCTCAAACGGTCCTAAAATTTTATCTTTACCGATCATATTTAAAACTAAAACTATTTTGACATTTTTTTATCAATCAATAATATAGCTCAATATTTTATTCATTATGGTCTTCCAAATTAAATGTTTACTTAAAACTTACATTTAATTATTTTTCAAAGCAATTCTATCTTTCTTTAATATCTTTAGCTTTAACCAAAATTTTATTCTCTTCAACTTTGATGTATTTAATTGAAACCTTTAGATATCTTAATCCATGTTTTGCCTATTCTATATAACTCTTACTCTTCCTTGATGCCATGCCTATAAATTATAAACGTTGGAGGTTTTGCATCACAAAATTTTTAGCTTCCTTATTATCAATATAAGTCCCAATATTATTTAATTTTTATCAGTATTTAAAAGAACATTTTAGTTTCATAAATACAATTTATGCCTCTTCACTCCACTACCAAGTCTCCCAACAAGTGTAGAAACTATTTCTAGACACTCGACATCATAACAATACTTTCAATGGAACTATCTTATCCCACGTTAGACTTAGCTCAACTAAAAGTTCTAATTTTTGTACCTTAGAAGCCTAATTTTAAAAATTAACTTCTTTTCAAATTCCACCAACTTATTAAATACATGTTCAAAGCAGATAAACAATTCAATTGCGCACATCTTTAGCATATATAACTTAAAGCTAATTTAATTTCCACTACTACTTCCTCCTTCAACATTGTCTATGTTCACTTTTCCATCTTAGATTTATAATTTTTTAATTATACCTTTGACTGCATTTGATCAAACTTGTTTCCATATTGCATTCCTATTTCTCCAACTTTTAGTGCACTTTCTATAGCCCTACATTTTCAACATAAGCCATCTTCGGTGTTTTAAATATTAGCACTTAAATTTCGGAAACAAGCAGGGCACTTGCCTCACTGCTTATCATCTTAAGTCAAGATGCTCACCTACGTTGTCTGGCCTGCCTCATTCAAAGTCCTAAGCAAGTGTAACGCTCATCTTTAACAACAATGGTTTGAAGATGTACAATGAATGATAGAGAATGTACTAAGGATTAAAAAGGAAAAGGAATAAACAAAAAGTAGCACAGATAATACTTATGCAAAAATATGTGCAACGAATTGATTTCGTATTAAAAGTATCATTTAATGGGAATGAATAGAGAACGGGAATTCATAAAGCCGACTCATATAGTTTGGATAGATCTTATTGATGATGACAAAGGTTATCAGCAATCACCAAACTGAATACTGAAATTTCTCATAAACCAATGAGAACTGCAAATAAGTTTATTTGAAAATCATAGTTTTAAAGAAAAGATAAAACACCATTTGTATGAGAAAAATAAGTAAGCTTTCTAACGTAAGAAAATACTTACAGTCGCCGTGGTGTCTGCTGCACGTGGTTGTACTCCTTTTAAACCAACAACCCTACAAGACCAGGGCACGGTTAAGAAAGCATTAAAACATACTAAAAAGGTGCAAGGATGATAAATTAAGGCAGAATTGTTCCTGTTTAAGCAATGTTTTTAATAATAATAATAATCATCATCATTTATATGCGTGGATTTTGATTCTCATATTTGCAAGATATACATCGTAGCATGCATTAGGAAGTTTGGGATCTAATGGCAAGTTTCTTGAGAATGTGTTTCACTAGCTTCCTATCTTTGATTGGGATGACTCACCTCAATCCTTCCTCAAACCCCTCAAAGGACTTTCTAAGTTGGACAATGCGACAACCATAGTCACTCAATTTAAGCACTTAAGATGTACCATGTCCCAACATCTATAAATACCCTATCTTTAGAATTCAAGAAGGGCAAAAAAAAAGAACTCAAGTTACAAACTCAAGACTAAAAATTTATACGTCAGGAAATTTTGTAGTAGAAAAGACAGAAGTAAAGAGAGATGTAATAGAAAAGACAGAAGTTAAGAGAGATGCAATAATTACTATTGTAATTCCTCTCTTTTTTTCTCCGTGAATATCTTGCCTCCCTGTCTTATAGCGGACGTAGGCCAATCGGCCAAATCAATTAAAAAGTTCAACAATTATTAGCAACTAGAAAAATTCGCAAACCAACAACCTAGGAAGATTTTCCATGGGTCTTAAAATTTTCCTTCAAGCTTGCAGATAGAAATGTTTTCTGAGGTGGGATGTTGCAGATCCTTCAATCAATCAATCTATCTATCTATCAATCAATCAATTAATCAATCTATCTATCAATCTATCAATCGAATCGATCTATCTATCTATCGATCTAGCGATCTATCGATCCATCCATCCATCCATCGCTCTATCCATCCATCGATCGATCCATCCATCGATCGATCAATCCGATCCATCCATCCATCCATCGCTCTATCCATCCATCCATCCATCGATCCATCCATCGATCGATCAATCCATCGATCAATCCATCCATCCACCCCTCCATCCATCACCTAATTTTTCTGTGCGGACTCCCGACGTAGCTCTAGGTGCGGCGGAAGTTATTCTTGAGTTATTTTCAGGTTATTTCTGGGTTATTTTCAATAATCCCGAAATAACCCAGAAATAACCTTTGGTCTTTATTTTTAGGTTATTTCTGGGTTATTTCGGGATTATTGAAAATAACCCAGAAATAACCTAAAAATAACTCAGGAATAACCTCCGCCGGACGTAGAGCTACATCAGGAGTCCGGACAGAAAATGCGCTCTTGTTTGTCTGTCTGTCATCTATCTAGGGAGTCAGCTAACAAATCGGTGAGGTGCGTACCATTACCAGAATTAACCAAAGTATCATCCATTAAATTCCTTAGCTCAAGTAGAGCTCAAGTAGATCTTCAGTAGATCTTCATTCTTCTTCTTCCTTCTGAAAGTGTAAACCTGTCATTCCTCATCCGAAGTTTGATCATTCAGATGAGGTGGTAGAGCCGTAGCAGAAGGATTGTCAACTGTTGTACCCACAATAGTTTGTAGTATATGTGAAGTATGAGTTGTCGCCGCTATACCGGATACTTACTGAAGAAGGAGAGTTGCAAGGTTATTTTGATTATCAGTCCAAACACTATCATTTGAAGGTAAGGATCCTTCAGTATTGTTTTCAATAGGATTTGAAGGTAAAGGTTGCCCAGCAGAGCTATCCAGCATCACATTAACAATATTGTCAAGGGGGGTCCACAGGAGCAATTAGATCAATCACCAAATCCTATTTTGTGACAGTTTTCTCCCCAGGTGGAGCAGATATGTCTTGAGCACTGGGATTAGACCCCTCCTTATTGGCTTGAACTTTAAGTTTTAAATTAGGATGAAGCTTGTGACATTTATCAAGGGTATGCCCAAACATCTTATAATGGGTACAACAAGGTTTGTGTTCCATGACGATTTGTTGACAATATCCATTACGAGTTGTGCCCAGCCAGACTTCAATAATATCAGGTAAAGAAATATCCCTTTCCACAAGTATTCTGGCCACAGAAAGTCTGGTTAGATTGAAAGTGGGTAGATCTAGCTTCATAGGGTCCCCAAGTATGACACCAATAGAGTAGAGAATGTGATAATTAAAAAAGTGCAGCTTGAGACCAAGTAGACTAAATCATATCGGTACAGTAGAAGTTTCATGATTTGGGTCAAAATAAGGATACCACTCGAGTAACTTCATTGACTTGCCTGCAATACTAAGATATTTTTTGGAGAAAATATGTGAGTAGTCTTCAGCCACGGTTAACTGAATCAACACATGTCTCCCACCCATGAGTCCCACTTTACACTTGTCTACTAGTTTGAGATCATCAACACTCTTTCTGATAATTTACATAGATGGGTGCCCCCACTTAAATTTTCCAATAATACTGAATTTGAATTTCTCAGTCATGGTTGAAATTTCTAAGTCAGAGAAAAAGAATGATGTTTTCCCACCTTTCCTACTTGGCTTTTTAACAAAATGGCAATCACTTGTACCATCACGATAATCCTTATAGTTTTAGGGGAAGAAAACCGCCGACTCCACCTGAGGATTACCCACCACGTGGGCAAAGAAGGCTTTGTCAGGTTCAGAAGGAGGGAGCGCCATCAGAGTAGGGACCTACTAGAAAATCTAGATATAATCGCAGCGATGTGTGAAAGAAAGTGAAGCTGTCGGCGCCTCCTACTACAAAGTCCCGAAAAACTCGAAAGCAGGGAGTGGCGAACAGATTGCAACTGTCGGCGTCGAAACAGACAAGGCAGAAACAACACAGACGCGAACGTGCAAAGCTGTTGGAGTTGAAATCAAAATAGCGAGACGCAGAACAAAGAGCAATAACGACGCGAGGCGACGAAGACGGAGAAGATGCAGTGAGGAGAAGACGACACCGGAGAAGAAGCAGCAAGGATGTGATATGAAACGTCGTAACAGTTGCTAGGGTTAGCCATGAGTCGAAACCTAGCAGAGCTGATAGCAGGAGAAGACACGCCATATATATATATATATATATATATACATTGATGATCAGTATTTTTAAAAAATTTAATTGACTACAAGGCTATAAAGATTTATATTCAATTAAAAGTAATATTTAAGAAAATAGAATAAAAATTATTAAATTATATTCAAATCATGTTTTAACATAAACAATAATTTTTAAATCTTGTCTCAACCCTTAACATCTTATGGCTGCGTGATTAGGGTTGTCAAAACGACTCTTCGTTCGTGAACAACTCGTGTTCAGCTCGTTAAGCAAACGAGTCGAACACGAATACACTTTTTGAGCTCGAAAAATAAACAAGCCGAACACGAGCTTAGCCAAGGCTTGCTCTTTTTCGGCTTGTTTACACCCCTAGTTAGGATAGATAAAAATGTTATTGCTAGTGCTTTTTCAAGCAATTTTTAAAAAAAATACCAAGATAGAGGGTATAAAAGCATGAAGTCCATTTTTCTAACAACTTTCACCCTCCACTATTATTGTTCAATGGTAGAATTTAAAGCTAAATGCATACTATTTGTTACATTTTTACATTACCAATACCTTTAAGCTACTTTAAATTCTAGGCATTCAAATTTTGTAACGAAGGGTTAAAGACGTGAAAGGAAAATGGCCACATGCATTCAGACAAAAAAAATGATGGGACTTACTGTGGCCCTGATATGGTTTGTGGACAAACAAAAAATTAAATGATAACTTTTGTGCTATATGAAAAACGAGAACAAAATTATCAACAACAATATTATCATCATCATTATTAAGGGTGTCTGAAGCGACTGTTGTTTTTTGAAAAAGCTGTTGTGAAGCTGCTTTTCAGAGAACCAGTTTCACGGGTGCTGTCAAAAAGCTTTTCTTGGAATAGCGGGAGTCTTTTTAGATAATCTGGTGTGCTACAGACTATAAAAAAAACTATTTTACCCTTATATATGTAATTTTACTAAATAACTGTAGTTTTCAAAATAATTGCAACAGAATAACAAAAACATGCCAGCAATACAAAAACACATTAAGAAATCCAATTTTCCCAATACAAAAATTTTAAGTTATCCTTTCACGCATATAACCACAATAATAAGAACTACAAAAATAACTAGCAAAGTTATAATGGTGTCGCCATTATATTCAGATGATCAAAACTTAATATTTTTTTTTTTGCAGCATTTCTCCTCACTTGATCACTATCCGAAGCAAACTCTTCTATATCATCAGCCTAACGAAAATATCTACATCTTCATGTGCCCTAAGACAACAATAAAATCTGGTCTCATAGCTCCATTCTGTTATTGATGTGTGATATAAACACTGCATACCACAATAGCAATACATGGTTCTTTAAGTACTTATGACCTTAAACTCATTTTTCCTGTGCTATAATAAATTATGATTTTAATTGACAAAAAAAACTTAATGTGCAATAAAATAATAAGAACATACTTGGTTTCCTAATTAGAAGAAAACATAGCAAGTAGATATCAACATATTCTCAAGACAAAATGCTACAAAAATATAAAATGTAGACATCTATGAATCCTCAAAAGATCTAAAATTTTTATTCTACAAGATGTTACAAACGGTACATAAAAACACAATAAATTTACTAAAGCATCTGTAATCTCTTCTATTAAATGGATCATCTCATGAACATCATTCCCTTTGGATGTGTTGAAGTCATTCGTCCAAAGCCTTTATCAAGCAAAGATTGCCCGACCCGATGTTTGAATGTTTCGACAGATATGCATGTTGGATCATCATCAAATATCCTAAAATTAATATCATCTCAAGATAGATGTATCTGTATAAAACTATGTAACGATGTTGCTGCAAGAACTATCTTCACATTTTTTGAAAACAAATGTTGGCATTATCTTGGAATATGATCCATTTCTACTTTCATACATTAAATGTTCTCTTGATAACATTTAGTAATGATGAGTATTTGAAGAATTCATTCCTCCCTCTAATTACTTCGTTTTTGCGCTCAAAAT